GGCGTGCCTGGCGTAAACGGTTACCGTGGAGAAATGGGGAACGCTGGCCCAAGAGGACCTCCGGGTCCGGATGGAAATCCTGGAGCCGAGGGAACAGTGGGACCACAAGGAGAAGTAGGCTCAAATGGTACCGTATCATAACACATTTTTAATTTCAATGTATATTTTCAAACATTTGTAGTGTTTTGAACTATTTGTTACCAATTAAATTATATCCTTTATTCCAGGCCTTACCGGTAAATCTGGGCCACCTGGATTAAAAGGGACTCAAGGAACGTATAGCCTAGTGAATGCCTGGAACCAACATCGTGCATTTTCTGTAGCGTTAACATCAAATATTGTTGCAAACGATGGAAATATGATAATCATATGGGATCATGAGTTTTCTAATGTAGGCGGTGATTTTGATATGAAAACAGGCATTTTTAATGTGACAGTACCAGGTATGAAATAGGCTTACTGCATGAAAAGTAGTCTAAAGCCGATACACACTGCGTCAACCGACGGTCGGCCAGCGCGATTCCATGAAGACTGCAACGCGATGCGTACATCGGATTGTTTTTAGCGACGATTTTGCTCAACTTCCACTGATTCAGCAGACGGCGTAAAGTTGTCAAACCCTAAACAGAATGGAGATGGATTCGTCGGCGAAGTAGCCGACCGTAGACCGACGCAATGTGTGACCGAGGCTTTGTGTAATGTAATTGAATGTCTTTTAATAGGATTGTAATAAATCAATTAATATTAATCATTATGATGATGATAATGACGATGGTGGTGGTGGTGGTAATGATGATGGTTAATGACGACGATGATTGTGACGGTGATGGTGAAGACGATTAATGATGATGATGATGATAATGATAATGATGATGATGATGATGATAGCGATAATGATAATAATATTGATGATGACGATAATGACAACGTACCATGATTACCATGATGATGATTATATGGACTTATGTTCTTTTTGGCAGGCACATATTTCTTTTCTTTCTACGTCTCCAAAACTTCTCGGCAGAATTACCCTCTTGTACAGCTTGTAAAAAACGGTAACAGTGTTTTCTTGTTAATCAAATTCACAATAGTTTAAAATTGCGGTGCACCACGTGAACAGTTCTGTAAAGAACTGATGTGTTGAGCATATCTGAACGTTTCGAATAGGTTGCTCTATTGGTCTTTAAGAGAATTAAGGCATTCTTCGAAAATTAGGGAGAGAATAATCGTATATCTGGATTCTTGTTTTGTAGGTGAACGAGTTATCGGTGCCATTGATTATGGACCTAATGACAGCGAAGACTCGAGTGGTAATAGCGTGATATTATCATTGAGTATGAATGACCTCATCTGGATGATTTTAGGTGATGAAAGAGAACTTTCAAGCACACCATACAAGTTGACAACTTTCTCTGGATTCCTCATATTTCCGATGCCAATTTGATTTCGATTGTAGTATGCAAACTATGAATATTTAACTATTACTCTAAGAATTCCATATTGATATGTACATCTATATGTATGCATATACATATACATATATAGGCCTATATAATTATATATATGTATATTATATATATATTGTTGGATAAGTTAACATTCCTCTAAAGTGTCTGTATGTTTGCAATTACACACCTGTTTTTATATAGGCCTATTCATCATTGAACGAATGAATAAATTAAAGAAATTGCTTTTTGTTTTTATTGAAACTACAGTAGTACTGGTAATACAAGTTTTAAAAATGTATTTAAATGTAAAAATGAAAATAACAATAATTTTGTAAAGATGAAAGATAACATTTTTAAAAATCTACTTTATCTTTATCGTCTTTATTATGATTACAACAGTAATGATACGATGGTGATGAAAAAGAAGATTATGTTGATGATGGTGTTGACTGTGATGATGATGATGACGATGATGATAATGACTGTAGACGACAACGATGACGAAGATGCAGGGTGAAGTCATTTAATTGGATGTCAAGATTAACGTCTGTGAGTTTAGGTTCATAGAGTACAGTTATTTTGCTTCTTACGTTATGTCTTATCAATGTCAGTGATGCATCACGTGTTCTCTATCAGATAGAAATATAACGAAAAAAACCAATATAATAAACTTAATCAGAAGATGGACAAAAAATACGAAAGCGAAAGAATCAATAAATGTTACCTAAATTTTGAAGGCTGGTAAAATATATAAAATTGATGGCAATTACTTATCCAAGACATTACCTGCATGTGTTGATTTCAATCTCAAGGTGGATACATTTTTTAGCAATAAGTTGAGTAACTATAAAGTGACTAAACCTAACTTTGTACCATACTGGGAAAAGAGGAAATATTTCCTCATAGATTTTGGAAACGATAGATGTAATTTCCATCTTTAAAAGAGGTAGGTGAAGGTCAACCAGTACAGGCCAAAGTGCTCGTCTCTCTTTGCGTTTGAGCCAGAGTGTGCCCGCTGTGAGAGGGTCGCAACTCCTCTTATCATCTAAAAAAAATGCCGGTACCCATTCATACTCATCAACATGTTTGATAAAGTGGCTTGCACAAAGGCAAAAGCAAATAGCAAAGCGAGGATTGAACTCCCGCCGACTACGACGACGTAAAGAATCAGAGACACAACCCTTGCGCAAACCGCTTTCTATATACAGTAAACTCCTCCATATAAGACATTTAGAATGTAATATTAAATATTAACATACAATCATCTTCTTAAAAATACGAACGTTTCGAGACTAAACCAAGTATACAGCCGGGGTTTTTTTTAACTGGTGTTGAATGAAATAGCCTGTTGTGTGCTTTGTAAATCAAAATTATAATTTTTCATTTTACACATTTGAAGAAACATTATTTTTCATTCCACAGTTACATTGTTTTTTCTAACTATTTCTTTATTCTTTGGATTAAATACTCTATTTTATTTCTTTGTTAAAGTGTACATGTAATATACCTGACTTGGTCAGTGGTGGCACCTGTTGGGGGCCAGGATCCCCGTCGGGGAGATCTCCCTTTCCCTTTCTCCGTCATCCAAAAAACCACAATTAGTCTGGGTGAAAAAAAATTAAATGTATTTTCTACATATTAGTAGACTATCTACATATAAAATTGATTAAATAAGCTATTGTATCTAAATTGTAATATTTTTTGTAGCCTCGCTCCCTGGATCACTTTCGAAACATTTGAGGAATACCCGACTACGCCCACCTTTTCCTCGTCGGGGACATTGGCCCACCCGTCGGTCAATATATGAAAATACAAATATCTGTCTCTTATACACATCTAGATGTGTATCCTGGAGCGACCCCTGAACTTTGCAAATGATTTAATCAAAGATAAAATGAATTGCAAAAATAAGTGATTAGGCCTAGGTTACATTATTTTATTATTTATGCTTGGTTGAGACATAACAGCAGCTAGTTAACATATTTTAAATATTGACCTAAAAACTTAAATCCATTTCTGGGTCAATCAATCGATATTCGGGAAAAGAAGAAACCCGGAAAATGTTGTAAACTTGTAGTGACTGCTATAAACTTCCTTGCCATCATACAGTAACAGCCAAACAGCATCACCTTTGGATAGGTTCAGTATTACACTGTTACCAGCAGAATCTTCACTGTCATTCGGTCCGTAATCAATTACACCAATCACGTGATCACCTATTAAAGACATTATATAAAAATAATTAAGATTTTAATTAAGATAATATATTGAAAAACAATGCTGTGTTAAACAGTGGCTGCATCTCGGTAAAGATACAAATTTGATAAGTAACAGCTAGATGTAAACGTAAGGAAACAGCCAAATAGAACCATAGAGCTTCCGGACAACACTAGTCTTTCCTCAGTGGCGAGTTAGTGAAAGTAAAAAAAGCCACATAACCAACTTATCACCTTTACAACATTGGTTCTTTATTTGAGCACTGTTTCTACCATTATTTGGTTATCATTTAAATCTAAATCAATGTTACTGAGTAGCACTGAGGTGTATATAATTATATAAATAACTAAAATAGTTTTTATCAATTGTTTGAAAAAGGGTTCCCTCGACAGTAATATTTAAATTAGTATCAATATATAATTTATATTCAGTTACGTTTATGATGAGTGGTATGGTTTTCTGGTAGGTAGGATATCCATATACCTGACAGCAAAAAAGAGCCTGCGCACAAGATACGTATTTGACATCTAGTCTAATTTTAAGACAGCTTGCATCATTTCCTCCCTATAATGCATGTTAGCTGTATACCCTAATTCACAGGGGCATTATGAATCTGTTTATAATGGGTGATGTGATATCCGAACACATTTTGAAGTCACAATCTCTTATTGATTTTATAATGATAAAATATACAGTGTGGAGGTTTGTAAGACGTTTGCCTTCCAATCCTAGTGCCCTGAGTTTAAACACCTGGAGAAAGGCCTATCATTCTTATTCAATTTTATAGACTTAGTTTACTATAGGATCGTTGAATCCTGAAATTGACGAGCGTATTGGTTGTGGACGTGAAGGATATTTTCTAAATATAAAAATGTAATTATGGAATGGTCTACCTACTCAAAAGCGATTAAGTCATCGAATTTACTTATTCTACTCACAAGTCATACAGATAAACTTCATTTGTGAAATAAATTACATGGATTCGTCTTACCATTTTTAATAAGTTGAACAAGAGGGAAGTTTTGCCGAGATGACTTGTAAACATGTATAGTAAAGAAGTAGGTACCTGAAAAGTAAAAAAAAATAAAATGAAACCTGACGCAATAAGAAAGTAAACAATAATAACAATTTAAATGCATTTTTTTGACACACTTTGTGCGTTTTACAATTCCAATGTTATAATTCTGTTTAATAAATAACATGGCCTTATTGAATATTTTGCATGTTGCATGTACTCAGTTAGAAATAATCATAAGGTCAAGTATGCGCCAAAGTCGAATTAAAAGTGGCTGTGAAAACTGTTCAAGTTAGAAAAAATTCGAGTAATTTAAAGCCAATTATTATTCGAGTGTGCTTGATTTTCCATTTTCAGAGTAGTGACTATTTTTCAAATGTACAAAATATATTAATTGTGTAGATACTTAATTAAAGTTCACGTATCATTGTGCCAAACTCAGTACGCTGTAGTATTTATTGTAGTTGAATTTGGCAATGAGAGAAACTACATTCAGAAACTATATATAGAACGTTTAATCAATGGAAAGAATCGTGATTGATCAGTTGGCTATGCTGTGAAGATTGATGGTAAACTAATAGATCTGTACTAATAGAATCACATAAGTTGACGGTCTTTGTGAGAAGTAATTTAATACCGTAACATAGTGATCGTATATTATTTGGAAAACCACTTCTCTTGATATCGGGTTTATATGAAAATCAATTGATAACATGATTGACACGTGAATTACAGTATGATATACTTGGTTTTTTCTTCTTTTTTTTCAGAATCATTAACAACATTTTATTACTGAAAGTATAGGAAATACACAGTGGCATGGTAATTCAACATTGATGAGATGTCGACGTATGCACAGACATGGCGAGTTTTACTTGGCAACGATGTGATATTCATGTATACTTACCCGGTACAGTAATGTTAAATATACCAGTAGACATGTTGAAATCCCCGCCAACGTTAGTAAATTCATGATTCCACATGATGATCATATGTCCATTTGTTGCTGTTAAACTGGACGTCCTGGCAACAGAAAATGCTCGTTGGTACACCATAGCTTTTGTGCAATCACAGTTACCAGGCAATCCCCTCAACCCTGGAGGGCCAGGTTTACCACTAGTTCCTGTTAAGTAAGCATTTCCACCAAATGGGTAGTTAGTTTAAGAGATGATTTTTAATATTTTATGTGATTAAAAATTCATCCAAAACGCTTATTAAGAAGTTGGTGTCGACTACATCACACCTTTAATAATTACAATTAAAACAAAAACAAAAACGTTATTATAACGTTCATAAATTGTGTGAACATGTTGTTTAGGTAAAAATCGTTTGCCCAAAATTGTAGCAACATTCGTAAGGTTATGTAGTCCAAATAAGTTATTAATACGTATTTATGGATCGAAAAAATAAAAAAAAACAAAACAAAACAAAACAAAAACACGTTTTGAATAGCAATCTGCAGCGTTAATATAACATAAAATTGTTATCCTCGAAATTATCGTCGTTAAATATTATACAATATTATGGTGTTGTAAATAATAACATTCATTTTTATTTCACTTACCACGGAAGCCTTTTGGCCCGACTATTCCGTCTTGTCCTGAAATGCCTGACCTTCCTTGTGGCCCCAGTTGACCACGTGGTCCCATCGGACCAGGATCACCACGTGAACCATGGGCTCCAGGTGCACCAGGTATTCCTGCGTCCCCTGTTTTGTAAGCATTTAAAGTTACACCAAGTAAATATATGCGCCATCTGTACACCTAACAAATCGTAGAGGTTTTCTTTCAAAGGACTTTCATAAATAAGACAAATGTATACTTTATTTAAGACCAATATATGAAAATACAATTGATATACAATAATACATTAATGTTTAAAATCGATGAATTAGAGTAATACTCTATCCAATAGAATGATAAGTTTAAAAAATACAAATAAAATAATAATAAAAATATTTTAAAAACTGACATATTATAGTAATTCTGCGTGCAAATGATATAGTTATTTAAGGTTTACAGAATATTGAAATTTAAGAACAATTGAAATGCGCACAGATATGTACCACATGGACAATAACACAATATTTCCTATGATGTACACTGACTTTGTTTCCTCAGGTTACCGTAACAGTTAAGATAGATACAGTATATATGACGTTTATAAAGTATTGCCAAATGTAGGTTAATAGATGCATTAAATAAATTTAAAAGTCGAGTCTTGTCGTAAATGGATTAAATCACTTGTTTTCGGTTCAGAATCGTGGAGGAAGGAATGGCTGTGAAGATCAGGTAGAAATTTGTATGTAAAAGAAGTAAAATGAATCTTTGTAATATATTTCTGACATTTATGTTTCCACCTTTTCTTAGACTTGGCATCATTCTTTAAGATAGTCATTATTTTTATTGTCTATGGGAAAATGAATGTTTTTTGGAAAACAGTAAATAGTAAATCTTTTCATGAGGCTCCAAAATTTGGTGAGGGTGGGGACGTGAAACTAGCAATCAATTTTTTTGGGCCTAATCCACCGATGAGAGAGCAGCTTAAGCTCAGTCGGCTAACCTGGTGGTAGCCGCTGTGTGTGCGCTGAACCGTGGAGATCTCTAGGTCCCCGGTTCAATTCCCATCGCTGCCTCTCCTTGTGTTTCAGCTAGAGGGCTGAAATACAAGTGATAATAGCGCACCGTCTTTCGGATGAAACGTTTAAGCTGTTGGTCCTGTGTGCATTATGGCACATGTGCACGTTGAACGCAGTACACTCTTCGGAAATGTGTAGGGGATTGTCTCCCGGTGTACTACCCAATCACCACCAGAAGGACCCCACTGGAAATAAGTCTTCTTCTACACTTTCGTGGGCTATCCTTGGTGTTTACACCGAACAAATCCAATTCAATCCAATCCATATTATAGTGATTAGCATATTCTTTGACCTCACTTAACAAATTATTGAAAAAGAGTAGGTCATGCATATCGTTATCCCATCATAGGTAAATCATCCGTTGTAGCTCTTATCTAAATGCCTTTATTATCTTTTTAAAAAAATTAAACAATAAATTGACCTCAGCGCAACTTTGAGAAACATTTATTAGTTAGAAACATTCACATTCTATGAAAGGAAGGAATGGATGAATGATTTTTTTTTTTATTTATGGCAACTTATTTTAATATTACAGTACTATATTCATCATTTTATTTTTAATGGTTATAGTCTTAGTACGTGTTTTTTACTCTTTCCAAATTTTAGCTGTAGGCCTACCATCTGTTTTTAGCCCTTTTTCGTCTAATCTGTTGAATGTGTATTTTTATCAGGGTTAAAACGACTTTAGGAGTGCCAGTATGTCCACATCAACATAGTCATTACAGGCATGCGTCCTATTAATAAATTTTAATTAATTAAAATAATTTACTTAATGGAATTGTTTAGCATGACGGACAACATATTTTTTAAATTAGGGTGGTTTTTTTTTCTCTCTCTTACCTGGCATTCCTGTTAGTCCTCGTTCTCCTTTTTGCCCATCTGCGCCCGGTCTGCCCATAAGACCAGGTGCGCCATTGTTTCCGTTATTTCCAGGTGGGCCTGCGTAGCCCATCGGCCCTTGGGGACCAGGGTAACCAGGATTTCCAGTGGTACCTGTTGGTCCAGGCGATCCAGGGGGACCTGGAACTGGGATGTGATAATAAAATGGACGATTATCCGCCGGCGGCGGAGGTCTATGTGTTATCCCCGAACCCCCTGCCGGAGTATCTGGAGTTGGTACAGGCCTATTTGGAACGTCTATTTTTGGCATTTCAGTAGAAGTGGTAGGACCACTCACTTGGTCTGTATCAGGATTCAAGTTATTATCAATTTCTTCTGTTAATGTAATGTTCACCGATTGTGTTTCGTCGCTAGATCCAGGTACTGGCACAGTAGGAATTTCAGGATTGGTGTCAGTAGCTGCGTACATGCCTGCTATAACGGCAGCAAAAACTAAACATAAACTGAAACATCGAAATGATTTCATTTTACTACTTTAAAAATCCAAAAAATGTGTTCAAACTGAAAGCTTGCTATAAAATATAAAGCAAGTTGACTGGAAGTTCACAGTAGTACTGAAGATGTCACCATCAGATTCCAAATTCTGTTGTTGCGGTGTAGTGTTGTCCTTGCTCGACTAGACAGTTTCGTTTCCTTTTGGTTTAGTGGGAAAGGCCATACTTCCATAAATCGTTCCTTATCACATCCTGATCTGATTTCTACGTTGAGGTCAACTTTCAACGCTTTATAAAAGTCAAGGTTTGGTAAACAGTTTTCTCTGTTTATTTATCCAACAAAAAGGAAGTAGGACACGTGGTATTAAAATGGGATTGACAGTGCATCAGAAAAGAATTACATAATATGTAGGCCTATGCAACATTTACTTGGTTTTCAACATGTCGATAATATACGTGGAAAATGGAACGTGATATAATAAAATCTACAGGCTATGCTGGTTACTTTAATAGGCATACATCATACATCCTGACCATTCCCTGCTGCTGTAATAGTATAATATATAATTTATTAGTCTAAAAATAATGAACGTTTATGAGAGTGCAATGGAAATAATTTTATTCATGCGTTAAGTTGAATGGAACAGTGGAATTTCCCATGGAATATTCTTCCAGTTTCACGAATACAAAACATTCATTAGGCCCATTCGTTATATAACACACCAAAATAAATCCTCGTCATTTGATATTTTAAGAAAAAAATTGTTGTGTGTTTACCTTTATTATGAATGGAACAGTCCATCTTCTTTAAACCAATGAAAACATTATATTCGGTGGAGGCACGCAATGGGACAAAACGAATGGAACACAAAATAAAGGCACTGATAGAACTTTGAGTGACGACATGATGTAAATAACCAACGTCACGTGATCCGAAATTCACTAATCAAATTACAAGGATCAATTTAGATGCGTTGTAAAAGAAATAAAATTATATATTTATAAACTGAAATACGTTAATTTTTTTTTCAAACAATTTACAAAACTTTTCAGCTCCAGACAACCCTTTTAAATGTTGTACTGCACTGAAAACTAATCTTTTACTACTAATTCAGCATACTTATGATGTTTTATGATGTTTATCAAGCTAGTACATGTGTATTTGATATTTTTCCGTTCTTAGTACTAAAATAATGTTTTATGTTATTGTTATAAGCTAAGGCAAGGGAGGAACAAAGCGGGAAGATGGCAAACAAAATATATATACACACACAAGACTTTGCATTATGTTAAACCTGGTATGGAATTTTAGAGGAGTCACTATAACTACGAGATTTTTGAAGTGTAAAAAAAAATACAATTCATGGCACTGTCCGCATCAAATTTTAAGTGTGACAAACTTGTGTGATAGGCCTATGCCTATATATGGGCATGATGAAATGATGTCATTACATCAAAATTCAAAATATGGGCATATCACAGTTTTTAATAAAATTGTTGAGTGTGGACAGAGCTCGTAATTCGGAAGTTCCGGATGACGATTAACAAACGGTAACTTTTTAAAAATTTAAACTCGATGTGGAATAGGAAGTATGAGACTTCTCTTCAGACCTGCCTTGGATTGCCTTGATCATAGCGCCCCGGTGTCAACCACCATTGAGCATGCTCATAAAAGAAAACAGAAATTCGGGTGGCAAACTACTTTATTTGGTGGTGTCTATTTTAAAATGAAACGACGACAAACATAATGCGCAGTACAACATTTTTTTTGTAAAAACCAGTTTTAAAAGAATGTCATATTTTATACGTTTGGAGTATGATGACAATAATGTAGGCCAGTTTTGTGTTTACTTGAACCAGCGGGAAAGGCATTTATTATTTAGCGAAAAGCCATTGTTTTGTTTTTTTTATTTTGTTTTTTTTTTCTTTCGTCCATCACCCTCGCTACTAACATTGCAGCCCTAGTTCGAGTCTTGCTGACCTCGCGTTGGTTCCCATATTTTTATTTATTTATTTATTTGTTTGTTTGTTTGTGTGTTTATTTATTTATTTATTTATCTATCTATCTATCTATCTATCTATCTATCTATCTATCTATCTATCTCTCTATTTATTTATTTATTTATTTATTTATTTATTCATTCATTTATTTATTTATTTATTCATTTATTCATTTATTCATTTATTCATTTATTCATTTATTCATTTATTCATTTATTCATTTATTCATTTATTCATTTATTCATTTATTCATTTATTCATTTATTCATTCATTCATTCATTTATTTATTTATTTATTTATCTTATTTCTTTTTTTATTTATTTTTTTTAAATTTTTTATAGCAAAAAACCATTGTTTTCTTTTCTGATGTTTGTGTTCCTTTCTTCTATACACATCACTAGAGTCGCTACTAGCAATGCAGCCCATTTGGAGTCTTGCTGACCTCGTGTTGGTTCCCATATTTTTATTTATTTATTTATGTATTTTATTTTATTTTATCTTATTTTATTTTATTTTATTTTATTTTATTTTATTTTATTTTATTTTATTTTATTTTATTTTATTTTATTTTATTTTATTTTATTTTTTTATTTTATTTTTTTTTTATTTCATTTATTTGTTTTATTTCATTTTTTTTATTTTTTAACTTTGTAATTTCAACACCATTTCTCATTGTGTTATTGAGGAAGCCATATGTTCTGTTTTCAGACATGTGTTTATCTCATCTTTAAGTGCCTAAAGCTAGCTGTTTACACTATCAAATTTCATTTTTAAAAAGCGTCACATAAAATGTGATGGAAAATACCTCCTTGAAAATACTAAGAGTTGAACACGTTTAACTTGTTCTGGTACAATTTGATAGTATGTGATATAACGTTATCGTACACATATGGGCACATTACATTTTTTTGTCATATAATTTGATAGTGTAGACAAAGCTTAAATAATTATCTTAAGTCCGCCCTCATCCTGGTTGAGTCTAAACACCAAAGACCTTATATAAACAGGTTACCATATAAACACACTGACACGTTACGTTCTGCGCATTTTATAGCATATGGCAGCGTGTCGTCATGTCCAAATATAGAACAGCTTTGAGAAACAGGAGTGTGTTAGCGGTGTCACGGTTTAGTAGTGGCCAAGGCTGGCCGAACTTCAATTTTTGATTTATTTATTATATTGATTGTGGAGGATTATCTATACTTAAGTAGCTTGTAGCGGTAGTGTTTGTCAAATGGATTTTCAAAAATTGTTGAAGTTAGCATCGAAAAATCAGAAAAATGCAGAAAAAGAGGTTTGTTATACTAACTAAGGCCTACGCTAGGCCTAAAACTAAGCGTGTCGTATACTGTTGTCCTAGGCCGAGGCCGCCTAGCCTAGGCCTACAGGAATAATAGTAGCCTAGCTAGCCTGCCGGCTAGACAAGGCTTGGTCGTTGGCTTGTCTTGGCCTAGCTTACTTCACATTCAGGAAATTTTATTCTAAAAATTGGCATTGTTTTGTATAGTTTTTTTCCACCTTTTTCCCCCAGTTTTTATAATTAATCAAAAATCTGTATCTAAATCACTCCAAAGATTTTCATCAAATAGCCTATACTTTTTGGTATTTAAAAAAATCAGTTGTACAAAATATCAATATTTGTTTTGCTTTAAGTTTTGCAACCTATAAATCAGAACCAAATGAATGAATGTATATTCATGTTGTTTATCATAATTTTCTATAATAACTGTAATGTTTAAGTTTAGGGCTTTCTAAAAGAAGACAAGTTAAATCTGATTTTTGAGGCCTAAAAATGATTTAATTTAATTTTATAGGATATAAAAAAAACACAAAATTTAATATTTCCGAGGTCCACTATCACGTAGATATGGCATTAAGGATATATTAATACTGAGTTATGAATAAAGAATACACCTGTTTAATGTGTAGGCCTATGCATGGTGAGATATGTGTATAATCATGTTTTAAAGTTTTTATCTGTATGTACTTGCATAAGGTGAGCCTATAAAATAGCAGCTAATGATCGAAAAACAGGGGGTTGTCTTACAGTATACGCACAACATACAAATTTTAGATTGTTTAAAATCATTTCCGTTGTTTGTGCAGTTCGTCCGTAACATGCAAATTTACTTCTGCAATAAAACCACACAATGTTTACTGTGAATGAACGGAATTTAAAATAAGCGGAAAGAATATTTTTATGAACATTTAAAACTTAATATAATGGTATTATTTGGAAGATTAGCCTTGCATTTCACTCCATTTTAGCCAGCTAAATCAAGTATCAATATCATTTTATTAAAAGCAAAAAAAAGTAGGAATTCCGACAAGAAAACATTAGGGGTGGGGGGGGGAAGTAGAGTCGTCTTATATGCCCAACATACAAAATTTGTATAAAAATTTTATCAAACTCAGGGGTCATCGTCTTATACGAGGGTAGTCTTATACGTGGGTCGTCTTATACACGAATATATACGATACTGTATTGACACAGCCAAGAATGCTGATGTCTATTTCGTGAATACTTACCTGGATAAACCGACTAGTTGCCATTGTTCCCAGATGGAACACCCCTTCGAAATAAATGGAACAGTCCGACCCAGGGTACCACGTACGAACCGTCTCCCTAACAAACGTCCTCATTGATTTGTGTATTTAATATTGTATCAGTACTCCAATTACCTGTAATTGTAAAGCTGTTAATTAAAAAGTTGTGCTACTATGGATTCTTTACTACACTCTTGATATATTTTCTTCAATGTCCTTTAGCATCTGAAAAGAAAAAAACAGCACAATTGAAGCAAAAAGATGAAAAAAGTAAAAAAGAAGAAAGGAAAACAAGAGAAGCAGAAAAATCAAAAGAGAAATTGATATCCAAAACAGATAAGAAGAAGAAAACATTGAACGTAAATGACTACAAATCTAAAGACCATGAGAACAAGCATAAACATTTTATGAATATAATTGATAAAGGTGCGGACAGAAAAAAGGAAAGAACAGAATGTGAACGACCAATTAGACCAGAGACATCCAAGAAGAAACCTATCAAGCAACCTATGAATTTTAAAGAACTTATGGATTTAGCTAAAAGAAAACAAAATGGTGAAGTTATTATTGACAAGACCACTGCAAAATCGGAGAATGTGGATGTCAAAAAGCAGACAAGCTCAGTTAATTCCTCTTCAAAGAAAAATACTAATTTTGACACACAAAAACATGAATTTGGGAAAAAAGTCAAGAAAGTTTCTGATTCGAAAATTTCACATGAATTGGGAAACAAAGTCAAGAAAGTTTCTGATTCAAAAATTCCACATGATTCAGCCAAAGTTAAATTAAAAAATGGACACACTAAAGTATTAGAATCACAAGAAAAAGGAAAGGTTGTCAAAGGTAGGCCTATTAATATTAATATGAACACTAGTAAGGTGCCGGATACCAAGGGAAATGATCTATCTTCTGGAAAAGCTAGTGGGCTGAAGAAGTCTTCAGTTGGTCCTGCAATCAAAGATAAAGCAAAGTCTATACATCCAGGCTCAGGTCAGACAAAGCCTAAGCTTCCACCGCAACAAAGAAGTCAAGTTAGCAGGGTACCTATGAAACGTACAGGTATAGTACAGCTCTTTAATCTTTGTAGCAAATTAGGAACAAGATTAAATATTTTATTTAACAATTTAGAATGTAAATAGGCCATAAGGAAAACCAAATTACTTTTGAACCCCTATTAAGGGGAGACGTGGCCGAAGTGTTCGAAGATATAATTTCCTTAAATTGTAATATAATTTACTATAAAATAATATTAATTTATTCAAATCAAACAGTACTGTAAGTGTTCTTGCCAATTGTATGGAAATGATTCTCTAAACTCTATATGAGACTATGGAATGAATGATTTGTACCATAATTTAGATTAAAATGACTGTCTTTGGAAATCATGATTAAAACTGATTAATAGTTCCTAGGCTAAGTTTAAAATTGTTAAGCTACTGTAAAGGTAGAGTAGGAGAATAACCCATAACTTGCAGCGTCATTGTGCTGAATTGCATATATGCATGGTCCGTGACTACCTAGCAGCCGTAAAGAGGCGCTTCATTCATGGTAGATACATGTTCACATCATTCCACAATGACAGAAGCTGAGATGAACTATAACATCCGGGTAACCCCCCCCTCCCTACTGTACTCTTCCGAAAGATGTAATGGGTTCTTTAAAGTGGACACAAGCCAGATGTAATACACTGGACCTCCATTTTAAGTCCTTATCCAAGAAGACTTGGTTCTTCCAACTGAACCATGGGCGAGGAGCAGCTCGAACCAGCGCTGATGTTAGATGGGCATTGGTTGGGCACTGTTAATATCATTTATCTATTTATTTACATTGTCTTTATCTTGCTGCTGTTTACCGTAGAATATGTGTGTGTGTGTGTGTGTGTTTAAGTACCATGCAATGCTACAAAAATATCAGTACCAATGTAAATAATTTTTGAAGTCATACTAAAATATTTGTGTTCAATTATTTATCACCTAATTGGTTTCTTCTTGTTTAGCACTGCCACCAAAAATGAACTCAAAATGTAAACAATTGTGTTTCCTTGTTTATCACTTTTGGTTGATTCTTGTTTAATAGCACCGCCACCAAAAATGAAGGCAACACATAAACATTTGTGTTTCATTGTTTATCACTTAATTGGTTTTTTTTCCTGGTTTATCACTGCTACTACTAACAAAGTTAAGGCATATCGTAAATATGTGTGTTCTACTGCTTATCACATAATTGGTTTTTCTTCTTGGTGTAGCACCGCCGCCAAAATTAAAAGCAAAACGTGGAAGACTTTGTAGTGAGGATGAGGAGGACGAAGATGACGATTTCATTGATGACACTGGAGAAGATGTTGATGTGTCAAAATACATCCGACAGATCTTTGGCTATGATAAGCGCAAGTATGTTCAGTTTATATCGCTTTCTCTCTCTCTCTCTCTCTCTCTCTAAGTGCCATCTATTTTGACTTTATCAATTATGTTTCTACCACAAACTTGTTTCCAGCCTTCTCCATCAGAATCAGTCCCGGGTCTTCTATTCCTCCTCCTTTCTCTTACCATTTATGAAGACTGTCCATCCAGAGCAGTGGCTCTGTGCAGTTTATATCTCTCACTTTCTAGGTTGACTTAGGAGATCCAGTTTTCCACAACCCTATGTTTCTAGCCTTCTCCATCAGCACCACTTTCTGGTTTTCTACTCTTCTAAAAATTTATAAAGACAATCCATCCAGAGCAGTGGTGTAACAGAGCAATGACCTCTCACTGGCTAAATCCAGGGCCCTAGACCTTAATGGGTCAATGAAATTCTGCAGTATTGCTTTTTTTTACCTCAAATCAGCCATTTTTAGGTAGGCCAAATGTGTAAAATCATCAAAATACACCCTTAAAACATCTAAATCGCCAAAGTAGGTGGGGATTTTTTTGTGTACCACAGTGGGCTTTAACCGGACACAGTCCCTATGATAGTAGGCCCTGATGCCTTGTCTAGGCCCTCATTGCTACACCACTGATCCAGAGTATTTAACTTCTTCCTCTACTCTTCTTCCCTCAACCATTTCCTGTCACTGCAAGATTCTCCAGTCATCCTTTTCATAAACAATAAAATTGAAAATAATACGGTTGAGGGAGAAATACATGTTCCACCAACATTGCTCTTCTCTTGCAATTTAATACTGTCAAAGTGAAACAAGAAATACTGTTTGTAATACTGTTACATTCATCACACAAGGTCTGTTACAGACTAATAATTATATATTTTAATAAATTATATATTTCATAATGTATTAAATATTTTAAAATATTTTTTACTTGAAGCCAGTTGAATTACTTGATCATATGTGTGCTTGTGCTTGAGTTTGTTTGTGTATTTGTAAATTTACATTTTTATATAGGCCTAAATTTTATAAAAGTATTACCATGTTTATTATTTACGCAAAATGTTTGATAAAAATGTGAAGACCATTGATAGATGACTACAGAGTCTAGGAATGGACTTTTAGAGGTCTGTTGAAATTGCCTAATGTTGCAACTAATTTGTACACCACTCTCATGTCTTTATGTTCATTTTATTTTTATCTTTCTACTCCTTATTAAGCTATGGATATGAAAGTGAATACGCTTTGAATAATATGGAAGCCAGCTACACCCAAATAATGAAGGAAGAGGCACGAAGGTACTATTTGATAGTGGTTTTGTTTTTGATCATTAGCGATTTTATTTATAGACCATTTTATCGGGTTTATTTTGAACGCCGCCAATGTCCACAACTCACTGGGGACTTCCAGTGGCCTAGTCTAGACTGAGCAGCTAGCTAGTGTCAAGTAGAGTGTGTCGCACATACTGGTAACTACGTAGCTCAAAGTGCGTAGGCCTCTGGAAGTCCCCCAGTGGTAGTTGCCAGGTTATCCAAAATTTTTGTTTCAAAATTTTTCGCGAAAATGGTCTATAGCTGAAGTCTTTGCTCTACATACATTTGGTGTACTACACTATTTTTATTTACGTTATCAATTGTTTCAGTACACGTCTAGGGATAACTGAAGATTTAGAAGACATGAGAAAGGAGAAAATGGATTTGGCAAGAAAGAAAGCCAAGTCCAAGAGGTGACAGGGGGTGTCGGCTTTCAAGAGACAGTAGGTAGCTTTAAGATGCACGACAACGATGAGATCTAGGCATAATGTTATCGCATAATTAAAGTCATCTGCGCAAACGTTGAGTTCTTTTCAACCTCAATTCTAGAACATTTGCCATATATCTACGTTGACCAGAGAATGCAGTGCGGTCACGAATGACTGAATTCGTCGTTATGCAATTGTAAGCTGTCTGTCGGTTCATCACAAGGTCTTCCTCTATTGTGCGTTTGCTTTAGTGGAGGTTTTTAACAATGTGTTTATTTACTTTACTTGAAACAAAAAAAAATACTTGTGCAAAATTTAGAGTATAAAGTAATATATAGGATATACTAAATATAGGTAAAAATAAAGCTTGAAAAAATATGTGTGCTTTTACAAAATGACGTCAACGTCATTAAAATTGTTCCATACAGATTGTAATGGATTGCACTATACTTGCCGCTGTGCTTCATTAGATATAATGTGTAAATGTTGGGTTACTAAAAAAGTCCTAATTGGATTGTATGAAAGATATAATTCTGAATATTAAATGTCCGTCAATACAAACTATATTGCGTTCACGTAGCCTAAAGCTATCAGGATACAGGTTTTCCAAAAAAAAAATTAAATTTTTGTTATTCATATGATCAGGCAAGACTTTGTTTATACAGTACCTTGTTAATTTCAGAATAAAATAAAAGTTTTTCTTTCAAGTTTTTTTTTTATTGTGCCGGCCGCCGCCTTGAAATCTTTTGAAATAACATATGTATGTTTTTTCCTAATTATTATTATTCCTAATTATATAAATTTTATTGTTGAATATAAATTCAATTAAATTCAATTCAACTTTTATTGTCAAACACAGTGAGAACATGGTTTGAAATTCTTCTTGTTTGTTCACAGTTAAAATGTAAGTTAAAACAAGACACAAAAGATAAAGTCACAGAGGAAACAGCAAAAATTTAAAAACAATAAAAGTCTGCTAAAAGGTTAAAATAAAGAGTGTAATACTACAATCTTGACATTCAACATTAAACTTCTATTTTTATTTTCTCCTCCATTTATCCATTTTATAAATAAGGAAACAAAATTTTATTTTTATTTTTTTCCACCCTCCTTTGGTGATCTTCCAAAAAATAAGTTTGTGAAACAAGGTATAAAAAGTCTTGCCTAACAAGGATAGGATGTCGTAGCTACAAAAAACAACTACCATATTGTTCTTCTAATGATAGCAAGGATAGAATGTCACTGTTAAAAAAAATACTTTGGTTTTTTTTTTTTGATTTTTTTTGTTTTTTTGTTTTTTTCTTTATCAGTTTATATGACTAGAGTGTTCCTCTATGCCTAGATCTACTATGTGTAGACTGCTATTATGTGCTCACATTATTCTAGTGGAGAACATGTGACGAAACCTTACAAGTATCTAACTTATTGTTCTTTTGTGTTTTTTATTGCAGTTATACATAAATCTTGTGTCCAAGCGGTTAATGCAGGGTCACATTTATTCTTTAAGACCCCCCTCTTTTATGGTTTGGTTGGTAAATAATAATAATCATAATAATAATAATGATATAGAACGTATATGAAGCGTTCTTACCAAGTGTACTCGATTAGGAACTATAAACCATAGGCCTACCCTACAGGAAATATATGTCCACTTTAAACAACCCAGGACATTCTTCTCACAAACAGGAAGTTACCGAATGTTCTAATCCAGCCTAGGCTTTGGACTGCACGTGTGCACAGGAATTAGTACCTTTGAGGAGTAGAACATTGTAGAATTGATTTTGTCCCAGTTCCTATAACCGACAAGGAAAATTGGTGCTATATAGTAAATGTAACATTTAACATACAACATTTTATAATGTATCAGCTAAAATTTGACCTACATTATGGAACAGTAGGTTAGAATTTTTTTTAAATACAATATAATGTCAGTGGTGTATCTAGGGGGTGCGTGGGGGGTGGGGATGCACACCCCTCCAAAAATTACTTGAAGCCCCCCCCCCCCCGAAAAAAATAATGGTAAAGTAGTTAAAAATCACCTAAAATCACCTTATTTTGTCAATTAACGCCACTCAACTGATCATGGAGCCCCTCCCCCCTTTCACCTTCGCGCCCTCCATCAGCACCCACATTTCAAGACTTCTAGATACGCCACTGAATGAAGTTACCTAAATTAATGATGTAGTTTTTTAAAGCACATTAGGCCAAAATTATACAAAATTGAGCATCAACACATGCTCTTTCTTTTTATTAGTTTTAGTTTTTATGTTGTATATTTTTTTGCTAACAGTTGCTAACAGTTTCAACAGTGTACATGGATGAAGGCATCATTTTTTAAACAGTGTGCAATTAAGATATTTATTTTCTTAAACTCATTTCAAGAACTCATTTCAATCAATGATTTTTTCGATTTTTAAACCTTTTAACTTTTTACATTCATTTATTGTTGAAATTCATCTTATTAAAAGCATTTGATTTAATCTATGTATGGTTTATTGACTGGTTTTTATCGGTAATCAACAACATTGTTCCTGCATGCAGGAATTTTATATCCTCGGAATAACAAAAGAAGCATGATGATTAAAAGTATTAACTGAAAGGGGGGAAACACAGTCAGCTGCATCTATAGCATACGAATTCATTTTCTAACTTTACTTTAATTTAACATAGGCAAAACCAAAAAGTGGAGAACCCCACAATCAACAGAAGAACTGACTCCCGAAACAATATCAAATTGTATCTATTAAAGGAGGTTACTACAATTTGAGCGAGATGTTTTTTTGTTTTTTTTTAAATGTTTTTAGGCAAGAACAAATTTACTAAGCTTTGGGACAAACAATTAGATTAATATGGCCTTATAATCAGATACAGGGGCAGGTCCAGAGATATCTAAAAGGGGATGGGGGCCGAAAGTTGGACCGATTAAGACAACATTATCCTAGGGGGTCCTGGAAAAAATGTTAGTGGGGTGGGTCATCTTCCCCCCCCCCCCAAAATCTGCCCCTGAGATAAATGTGTTTCTAATATAAAAAGTGAACTCCATCTACCAACACTTTATATAACCAAAATGTTTAATATTATTATTCTCTGATTGATTGAATAAAGTTTTCTGTGAATATAAAAAAAATATCATATTTTGGCACCATTGCTGTTTAACCAGTTGACAAAAACATCAACTCACTGTGGAAGACAATGCTTAGTTAAAAAAGATCAATTGTTACCAACTTAAATGAGACTAGTGCACAGATTGAAGCAGTTCTTATTTTGCTGTTCACAGATAGTTTGAGCACTGTAAAATTACTCAGTCAATTTAGGTATCTAGTCAAAGAAAATATGTTTTATGCATACAATATTAACTTTAAATTAAAGCCTGATTATTGGTACCGTAGTGTACATTATATTGAGTTGAAAATCTTGGAGTTTTTATAGGTTACAAAAATGGTGTTTGTCAAAAAAAACAAAACTGAGACACAGATTGTGAATCTGTCTCTTATACACATCTAGATGTGTATAAGAGACAGGTCTAGACTAGTCCTCTCTCTAGGGGCTGTCTCTTATACACATCTAGCCTCCTGTTTCCCGCTTCCACACACCGTTGGTATGACGATAATAAATAATCAAGAACACTTTGGGCCCGGCTATACTAATCCGTAACTCTCCCTGTGAACAATATCACGATTGTTTTAATTCCTGGACCATACCGAGGCTCTAGTCCGCCCCTTGGATTTGACCCATCGGACATGTCGCGCCCTGTCGGCACTGAGTTTCTTGAGCCACCGTTGGACTCATACTTGTAAGTCACAGATACTATAAATCATTATATATACAGTATATGATTTTTAAAGTTGCCAGGAGAATTTCATTAGCCTACTTCAAAAAAGGTAGCATGAGAGCCAGGGGAGCTATTTAGTATTTTATAATTACTACAGGCCTACAAATTATTATTAATGATTTATAATTATATAATTTTATAATTAAAATGGTTATTCTGCATTATTAAAATATTTGTACTGCTGTTTTGTTGGTTTATTATTTATATCAATTTTTATTTAATTACATACAGTAATATTTTTAATTTTTAATTGAAATAATGAGCTATAATAAAGTGTTACTTTAATAATTAAAAATAAATAATTAAAATTAGAATTATAAACGAATATTTATTTTAATATTTAAATTTGAATAAAATATTCCTAAGCATGAAAATGATTACATATGTTTTTTTGATAAATTTTATAGCCTTTCATTTCATTTATTTATGAATGCAAACACAAATAAATAAAACTGTAAATAAATACGTACAAAGCCATCACGTAAGCCCGGGAATCCAATAGTAAACATGTACTCCTTCCAGGGAAATTCCAACAAACAAGATGGAAACTAAAAATTACGAATAGTCTAAAACCTGGTTATGATGTTTGATATTTCTTTTTTTTTTCCGTTTTGTTTTCGTTTTTATTTTCTTCTTCTTTTTTATATTGATTTTTATTGCTTTACAAATTTTAAGGCCATTGTATTTTATAGTTTTAATTATTGCTATTTTTTCCCTTTGAATATTTCACTTTTAATGATTAAATGATGGTTTTAAAATATTTAATACTTCACTTCTTCCTTAGGCTCAGCTGATAGGCGAGGATATGATCATTGAAAATAATTTGATTACTAATAAATTAATATGATGGATTAAACGAGTCCCGGAAAGACGTACAGCGCACAATAGTCAAATATATTATAGTACATTCTTTGAAATTGAAAGATAATCGGAAGAGTAAAACGTATTACTGTAAAAACTAATTTTAGAAATTGCCAAGCACCGATCGAAGAGAAATCAGTGAGAGTTTGTGACGTTGCATCTAAAGTTTCCCACAATGCAATGTTTTTGAAAATAGGCGCGTCAAGATGGCGGACACGTCGCTTGAACGTAAGATACCCTATTTTTTTTTATTCAATTTATTTTTTGTACATTTCAAACATTTATCAACTATGAATTATTCTATATTTATCTTCACATTTATATAATTTTGTTTAGTGAAAAGATTTGCTATTCCAACAGTTGGAAAGTGTTGTTTTAAGTACTAATTCCCCTCCGTCAGCTAGGCTAGGCCTAAGATAAGGACTGTCTAGGCCTATGTACTGACTGGTACTGCTGTAGTAGTAGTAGTAGTAGGCCAGGCCTAATCTAGCAGTGGTTGGCTGGCGGCCTACGCCCTCTCTCATTCCCTAAAAGGTCAACATAGGGCCTAGCCTATGTAAGCACATACGCCTGACTATAAAAACGGATGAGGTGTCATTTTGACGACTAAATATTTTGTGTCTGTTTTTTTTTTTTGTTTTTTTTTTTCGTAGGCCTAGGCCTATGTGGGTCTAGACTAGTCCTCTCTCTAGGGGAGGCCCTGGTACAGTGGTAGAGTAGCCTAATGCCCTATATACCTAGGCCAGCCAAGACCACTACTAGTACCTGGCACTCTATCTTTTGTAGTAAAGATAAAATTTTGTTTTCTTATTTAGCAAATAGGTTTGCCAAAACCAAAATAGAAAATAAAAATAAAATTTTATTGGTGATGAATGTAGAATAAGATGGATAGGCCTAAATGCTTCAAATTTATATAATTAGGAAAAAATATACATATCTTATCTTTGGCGATTTCAAGTCAGCGGAGGGCGTTTAAATAAAAATAAAGAAAAACTTTTATTTTTTTCTGAAATTTCCACTTTTTTCGTGGGGGCGGGTGCGCTGCTTGGCCCAAAATAAAATTTTATTTTTATTTGACATCATCAATATTTGCAGTCGGCGGGTTCGCTAAACAAGGTATAAAAATGTCTTGCCTTAGCCTTGGAGTGCGAGGGGGATATATTATTGGTCACTCCTTGGCCCAACTTTTACCATCAACATAATCAAAAATAATCATATGCTGTCCTGAAAAATGTTATATTTGTTGTACATACTGTAGACTCGGCAGAGGCTTTGATGAGTCTACGAAGTGCAGGCAAGGGTAAGCCCACCTCTTCACCTCAAACTCAGGAGGACAGTCCACGCAGGGTAAGTATAATAAATCAGATTAGGCCTATCAAAAATGTTTGGAAAATAAACTTTGGGGGTTTTTTCCAATGCATTTAACTATTACTAAATTTTTATTTTAATTCATTAAATTTACTTTTTTTAAATGTATAAATATACACTATACATTTCAAACATATAAGGAAACAGAAGTAAACTGCATGAATGAATATATAAAGATAAATTAGAGGAAAGAAAGCAAGATAAGAAAATATAGAAACAAAACACAAAGAGAAGGTTAAAGCACTGTAGAAGCGTGCGGTGCAGCGTGTAAGGCATTGGAAGGTCGGGGGCTTGAGACTGATGCTCGTCACACTGCTTGTGTTCATGGGCAAACACTTTACCTGAATTTGCCTCTCTTCACCTAGGAGTATATATATATATATAGGTACCTGGTAGGAGGTGAATGATTCGGAATGAAATTAAATATTGCTGATTACTCGCATGACTAGGAATACTCCCTGGAGGAGGGGAGAAGGTTGCACAGTGTGTATGATTGATCCTGTTTCCTGTATGGAAAAAAAGCCCCTTGAGTTTTCTGGATCATATGTGCGCTATATAAATCCTAATGGATTTTAATAAACAGAAAATAATATGAGCCATGCAATTTTATTGGTGAGGAGTCTGAGGAGGATGATAGGAGGGGAATGTCAGTACTAGTAATAATTAAACTCTCATTATCAGGAACATGTAATAATCATGTGATTAGGCCGTATTAATTTACTGTAATTGTTTGTCTCGAAGCACTCCTGTCTCTAAAATCCTAGTGCAGATTGTGGTTTTGTTTTGTTTTTTTTTTTCTTATATGTTTTAATAAAAATATATATATTTTTTATATATATATATATATTTTATATATATATATATATTTTCCTTATATGTTTTAATAAAAATATATATATTTTTTAATTTATATTCGTTACCAGGCTCTCTTCAGTTAAGAATTATAATAGTGTGTCAACACACCACATGTTATCTATTAAAGGAGGTTACTACAATTTGAGCGAGATGTTTTTTTGTTTTTTTTTAAATGTTTTTAGGCAAGAACAAATTTACTAAGCTTTGGGACAAACAATTAGATTAATATGGCCTTATAATCAGATACAGGGGCAGGTCCAGAGATATCTAAAAGGGGATGGGGGCCGAAAGTTGGACCGATTAAGACAACATTATCCTAGGGGGTCCTGGAAAAAATGTTAGTGGGGTGGGTCATCTTCCCCCCCCCCCCAAAATCTGCCCCTGAGATAAATGTGTTTCTAATATAAAAAGTGAACTCCATCTACCAACACTTTATATAACCAAAATGTTTAATATTATTATTCTCTGATTGATTGAATAAAGTTTTCTGTGAATATAAAAAAAATATCATATTTTGGCACCATTGCTGTTTAACCAGTTGACAAAAACATCAACTCACTGTGGAAGACAATGCTTAGTTAAAAAAGATCAATTGTTACCAACTTAAATGAGACTAGTGCACAGATTGAAGCAGTTCTTATTTTGCTGTTCACAGATAGTTTGAGCACTGTAAAATTACTCAGTCAATTTAGGTATCTAGTCAAAGAAAATATGTTTTATGCATACAATATTAACTTTAAATTAAAGCCTGATTATTGGTACCGTAGTGTACATTATATTGAGTTGAAAATCTTGGAGTTTTTATAGGTTACAAAAATGGTGTTTGTCAAAAAAAACAAAACTGAGACACAGATTGTGAATAGAAAAGTGAGTTGTTCGACATATATTTTTTTTCCTCTGGAGCCTGGTTAATTTAAAGATTTTTCAATAGCTTTTTTCAACTTAAAAAATTGTGTTCAATAGATAATTAAAAGCTATACTGTCATTTTTTCCTTCTAGCCACCACGCATTAGAAAGAGAAACAGGCTTATCTTTGAGGACTATGAAGACACATCATCCATTTCTTTGCGTTCATCTCCCAGTAAGAGGACGAAGGTCACACCTATTAAAGTTGTGACACCAAAAGTGAGAGTAAGTCAATACTTTTTATTTTTAAGTTTGTAAATATTTTAATTCATTTTTACATTTATGTTAATTGTTAACTGTTCAAACATGAATTTTTAATTTACATGCAAATTCAAGCCATATAATACAGGTAATAATCATGATATCATAGTAAAAAGTTTAAATGAAATTATGATTGTTAATTCTGGGTAAAAATAATCATCAGTAACTTTGTTATAATAATAAAAAATAATTTATTTCATTTTATACAAACCATCTAAAACAGTGTTAACATGAACTCATGTATATCAAAGAACAATGGAAACAAACAAATGCATTGCATACTGTGCAATGTAATGTAATGTATATAAATTTTCTGCAGTCTCAGAGCGGTGTACGTTAACATCTCCCATTTACAAACTCTCAATTTTACAAACCGAATTTGGGGGGATGACTTCATTACGAACAATCGTTTTTAACTACAAAAACACTTTAAAATGTATATAAAAGTCTTCCAAAATAATTTATATTGTTACATTAGCTGAGAGAGAAAACATTCAAACCAATAAAGTGATATATTGTATTTGAGTGCATGCTTGTTCGGGCATATTGTACAGTAAATCTCACTTTTTGATCATTGGGGGCACTATTCACATTGATTGGCGATCTTTATGAAAAGAATAATAAGACTTTTTGTGTGGTAAAGAATACAAAATTGCTTGACAACCAATACGCGCTCGTTTTGACGCGCTACTGTGATTTCACGAACTAACACAATCTACTTTGATTGTGTTAGTTCGTGATGTGAGTGACGATATATTTACCAAAAAGGAAATTAACATCAGTCACCAAAGGCTTCTGCATTTTCACCTTTTCCTCTGGAAACAACTTTCCACCATCATCCATTACACTCCAACTCTTTCTCAATTCAAATCTCCTCTTTAAACTCACCTTTTTCCATAGTTCATACTTTTTATTAAGTGCTGTGAGACTCAGGTAAAGAGCGTTATTTAAATGCTTATATATTATTGTTGTATTATTATTATTGATAAAGAATTAAAATGTTATAAAAAGATGTGTTTTGAAAATTTTTTTTTAAATGTTGTGAGAAGGGAATTTTAAACTTCAAGAGGCAGGGAATTCCATAGCAATGGTGCAGCAACAGAAAATGCTCTATCACCATAAGATTTAAATCGGCTGCTGTACAGTAGATAGAGTGTGAAGAACAACTGTGTTGATGGTAGACCTGAGTAAACGGCTGAACCGACTTAACCTAACATGAACTAAATTTTGAATGTAAGGAGGAGCAATGCCAAAGAGAGATTTGTATGTAAAAATACAAGTTCTTTTTATTTTAAAATATATTGATAAACCTGTTTATGTTGGTTTGTTTGTTTGTTTTTTTTTCTAAAACATTCTAGCAAAAACCTGGTAATGTTTTAAGCACACCTGATAAGAGAGCTGCTCAGAATCTTGGTACTCGTTTAAAGAATCTCCTCAAGCTACCAAAAGCATACAAATGGTGTATATATGAATGGTTCTACTCCAATTTAGACAAGTAAGAGTTTTCTTCAGATAATAAAAGTAATAATAATTTGGGTTTCTGTAAATCAGTGCTTAGCACTTCCAACACTCCTTTTCTATTTGTTGGTACTGTACTTCATAAACAGACTTACAGTTTCTTATAATAGGGTCATTCCAAGCCAACTCAACAAATTTTCAGAAGATTTTTTACAGTGAACTTAAAAAAAATTGAAATATAATAGAATTGTGATTAAACTAGACGAAACAATTAAAAAAATTAAATGGTTAAATAGTTTGACCATCTGATAGAAGCCTAGCTAACTTTGACTTTGATTTTATGAAAATTGGAATGTTAAATATACAATGTACACATATATTTTATTTGTATCTATTTTAGATGATTATTTAGATATTATAAACATACTGTTTATTGTTATCGTATTTCCTTCTTTTATTATTGTTATTATCCTTTCGCTTTGTTAGAGCTTTGTTTGAAGGTGAAAATGACTTCTGTGTGTGTTTGAGGGAGTCGTTTCCTCAGCTGAAGACTAGGCGCTTGACACGGATAGAATGGATCACAATCCGTAGGCTGATGGGAAAGCCCAGGAGGTATATAAGCTATTATGAATTATTATGTTATGTACAATTATTACCTAATGTAATGTAGTTAGATTTATATCAGCGCTTTATACCGAAATGGTCTCAAAGCGCTCGAGGTGTGGACTAGCTCTTTCAGTAACTTGCTTTCGCCTAAAGGGTCCCTTCATGTCTGAGCTACCCAGTAAGCCAGTACCAGCTGCTCTCGTCTGTCCACAACATGGGCTGTATGGACCAGTACACCATATTAACCTCCTACACATCCCAAAAGATGTACTGGATTTTATTTAGTGCACACAAGCCAAATTGTGTACACTGGGCCTATGGTTTATAGTCCGTATCAAAGAAGACTTGTTAGACCACCAAAACCATAGGTGAGCGTGCTGTTCACACCAGCACCTATATTATGGCTATAGGTTGCGACACCCCTGCCTTAACTGCACGGCAATCCAACTTGCGAAAAATATAATAAACACTAGGCCTAATGAGGATGAATTACCTTTTTAATTCATTGTACTATAATTTATTACATGGTCCATTCATGTAAAATCTCTGTTCATGATTACAAAATTTCAAAATTATACCCATATATAAATTTATATTTTATTTAGTTATTTACTTTTAAATATTTTATTTTAATAATAATGATATACATAAATATAATGCTGGAGCCTCTATGCGCTTAACATAAACAAAAAAGAGAAAAAAAACGAAAGAAAAAAATGATTTTACACAATGCCCAGTCCTTCAGCACCTTCTTTTGGGTTTCATCAGTATCAACCCATTTCTTGATATGAGAAATAACCCTGCTGTTTAAAATTGTAGGTACTACACAATAAGGCAGAAACAAGGTGGTACTTTGCCCGAAAATAAAGTCCAGTGAATTCTACTCCTTTTCCAAGAACAATGATTAAGATTCTTGGAAGATCTTTCTATTATCCCCTTCTTCTATAATCTTCTGATACATATTGGTTCCAGTGAGATAAGCCATAAAATGACAGTTAAGACCTGCTTACACTATGATGATAACGATCAATGATAAAAAGCTAAAATTGTTCATATAGAAAATAAAATAAATAAGAGAAGGTTTAACACAAGGAAGATTCGATGACAATTTATCGTGTATATGATAAGAAACTAATTTCGCAAATGAAATGGTGTCATAATCATTTGAAAACAATGAAATCGTTTTTACTAATACAATTTTATCATTTTCCCATGATTATGACGTCATTTGATTTGTGAAAATATATTTTTATCGTATACATGATAAATCGTTATCAAATCGTGCTAGTAGTCTCATTTCTTTTAATTTCTATATGAACAATTGATTCTTTTTTAGCTTTTTATCATTGATCGTTATCGTCATAGTGTAAACAAGCCTTTACATTGTTTAGCAGATCACAGTATCTTTAATGTGTTTGTGTAATTAGATGCTCATCTGCATTTTTTGCTGAGGAGAGGGCAGCGTTGCAAACGAAGCGCCAGAAATTAAGATTATTACAACAGAGGAAAAGCCATGAGCTGGATCCAAGTGAGCTTAAAGACTTACCAGATGAGGTTCCTTCTCAACTAGTCATTGGCACCAAAGTAACAGGTAAAGTTCTAAATCCATTGATGATGTATAGGCAGCTTTCATTGACACAAAACAACAATCATTACATTAATCACCATAGTTTGTTTACGATTTAATTACAGTGCTCAAATGACTTTTAATAAAATAAACACAAATCACAACGTTGACTTGGTTTATTAAATGGAAGATATATAAAAATGAACAAATAATTTAGTTCATTAAAATACAGATACTGATCATCGTCCATATTAGACGTGCGTAAAATCAAGGTGACTTAAAATGCATGATTGAAGGTTCTACTATATATGAATTTAATTTTACCTAGGTGCAATAAAAGTGGCGCTGTGTATGCTAATGGTGGGAAAAATGGGTTTTGGTATTATCTTTACTTTGTTCTTTGTTGAAGTGGAATACGACTGAAATAAATGTGATTTTGATTTCTTGATTGATTGATTGATTGAGTGATTGATTGATGATATATTCGAGAATGTAATGACAATGATGAGATATATTTGTGTTTATTTACAGCTCGGCTCCGTTCGCCTGTAGATGGTTTATTCACTGGTCAAATTGATGCAGTGGATCCTACAAATGCAACATATAGAATAACATTTGACAGGCCTAGCCTTGGGATTCACACTATCCCAGATACTGAAGTACTAGTAAGTATGATTATAATTCCTTTTTTTTTATTTTGGTAATAAGTAAACAACAAATTTACATGTCATATAGTGATTATATAAAGTAGTCTGCTTCAGATGGTTTCATGTTACGACTGGGACTGTGCCTTCTTTAATGGGGAGGGGAAACTGACGTTTTGACTGAGATTGCTTTAGAGGGCCTAAAGTTTCGAATCAGATTGAGCCTGCAGAAAGCCTGACATTTTATTATTTTCTGTTGCTATCCTATGGTATAATTTACCTTTTGACAATTTTTTCAGTCTACACATTTAAAGCTAGGAATCCATTTGTCCATTTGCGATTGTGGCTCCATTTGTATTTCAGTGCGTTTTGATCGATATAATTGGTTTAAGAGAGAGTCATTCCGTTAGTGTGATTGTGTTGCTTCTCCGTAACTGCATGCGCTTAAATATTTTAATCGCTCCATGCGGTAATATCCACAAGCACGTACTCCATATTCAGGGATATCACCAGCTTTTTGAAGTGCCAGTCGGCGATCATTCCGCGTTTTCCCGGGGGTGGGGAGCCACCCCCGTTTTCCCGGGGGTGGGGGGTCGCCGTATTCGTGAAAGCTCTTAAAAACCAAAAGGCCTAAGTAAGTCGAGCAGGCCTAGGCCCAAGCCTAGCTGACGCGATTTTTTTTGGCTAGTTCCAGGTAGGCCTAGGCCAGGCCCAGGTCAGAATTTGAGGAATGCAACAAAACAGATGAAGATGAGACTTACTGTAGGCCTAATTAAATTCAATAGTTGACATGCTTTGTTTTAGATTAAAAAATAATAATGAACAAATCCCGGCGACAAAGCGTCGATCCGACCATATTGTTTGCCGTAACTTCACATGTTTGACGATTACCACGATGAATGTGTATGTCACTGATTCATGTGCACTCATTTATTTATTTTTTGTCCATTTACACACATTATATATCAATTATAATTAAA